CTGGGCCTCCCCTTCCCCAGGCCTCTCTGTGCCATCTACCATCCCTGGTCCCACAGCTGCCTCTCTGGGACTGTTGAGCAGGTGGGCATTGGTGTGTCCAGAGGGACCCTGGTGCCCTCTTCTGTAGGGCTCAGGGCAGCACTGGGCTGGGGTTGGCGGCTGGAGGGAGGAGGAGGATGACAGGGGAGGACACAGGTAGGTGCAGGTCTGCTCATGGAGGACCAGGTAGGTGCAGGCTGCACAGCTCAGCCCAGGGCCAGAGAGGCCTGGGGGAGGCACCAGRGAGGCAGCTGAGAGTCCCCTGCTGCTGCCTGAGGCACCAGTGGAGGTGCCGCGGCTGGCGCTCTGACCTGGTCCTCCTCGCCTCCGCCCTCCTCGTCGTACTTGAGGATGTTGTCCCGCACGTCGTCCTCGGGGTCGATGAGCAGCTGCTTGGTGTGTCGCTCCTTCTCCCGCCGCTTCATCCACACCACAAACAGCAGGACCATGGCTGTGGGAGCGCAGCGCCGTGAGCAGGGTGCGGCTGTGCGCAGGAGGCGCACACCGCATGTGGTGTGCAGAGGCACCAGCCCGTGTGCTCACCCTCCACATGCACAAGCGTGTGTCTGGTGTGTGAGGGTGTCATCTGCATGTGGAGCTCGTGAGCACCGTGTGATCAGGCGCGTGCGTGTTCCATGCATGTCTGCACGAGTGCACACGCACGTGCCCCTGTGTGGAGGCGTGTTGGGTGGCGCAGGCCATGGTGCACGCTAGTGTTCGGGTGTGTCTCCCAGGTGCAGTGTGCACATGCGAGTGGGACCTCCTGTGCCCATGAGTGACCCCACCCTGTGACCATCCAAACCCCAACGCTCACCCCTCTGTGAAGTGGTGGAGTGTCTGCCCAGAGCCCAGCAGCCCTTCCGGGCATTGCCAACCGGCTCCAGATGGCATGAAGCCTGGCACGGTGTGAATGCCCGGTGGGTAGCCGTTACACTGTGCCCCTCGGGGATGATGGTGGGAGAGCACGGCCACAGGGGCTCAGCCTGACCCTGACTGGGGTTTTCCTGAACATTTTTGATCTGCAGTTAGTGGGGCCCAGGGGTGCAGAGGCGTGGATGCAGAGGGCTGGCTGTACTTCCTTCCCTTCCACCTGCAGCCCACAGGAGGCCCAGCCTCGCACACACCTTGCCCCCAGGGGTACGGGGCGGAGCTGAGGGGCCCACCCACAGGTCCTCTGACCACCCCTCTTCTGCAGAGGAAAAGTGTGAAGTTGGAAAAGGAGGTGAAAGGGGGGTTTGTGGGCACTGAGGGTCTGGGCAGGAAGGGGACGGGGAGGGTGCCCACCTGGCAGGGAGAGGAGTGTGGGCTGCCCCTTGCCATCTCCAGGGGCCCAGGGGGTCACTCTGACACAGCCTTACCCAGCACCAAGGGGTAACTGGGGGAGCAGGCCAGGGGCTCTCCCACCACCCAAAGGAATTGGGGTGCTGCTCGGTGGTTCAGGCACAAACCCACACTGTGGACATCTCTCTCCCCACCCACACTGGCCTCCCCTCTGCCCTCTGGGGTCTGTGCCAGGCCCCGMGCCCCTCACTACTCCAGACCCTTGGGAAGAGCCTGTCCCCTGCGCTCGGTATCTGTGTCCGGGTGGTGGCGGGCGGGGTCTGCTGGGTGTGGGCTCGGGCAGGGCTGCACTGCCCAGGTCCTCAGGCACACGTGGTCCCTCCTCCGCCCCCTGCAGCTCCTGTCACCTGACTTTTCCACAGATGGGAGACTGAGACCCAGAAGTGATGGGCAATGGCCACACTGTCCAGGGRACAGTGAGGCGGGTCAGGGACCCCTGGACCTCGGACAGGCAAGCTGAATCCTTGGTGTGGCTGCTGAGCCTGTGACAGTAGGGCTCTGAAGCTGAGTGTCAGCTCAGAGGGAAGGACAGTGTTTCTTGAGGTGGCAGAGGGCGGAGTGGTGGCCACATTGTGGTGACAGGAAACTAGAGAGCGAGGGTGGACCCCACTGTGTGAGTGGCTGACCCTGACCCTGGAACCGGAGCCGCCCTGCTGAGCAGGGACAGGAGACCAGGCCGCTCAGAGGCAGCTCCTCTGCAGCCAGGGCCTCGGGTGTGTCCACCCGGGGGCCAGATGGAGGGCTGTGGGAAGAGGAGGCAGAGGCCCCAGGTGCCCTGCCCTGAGCTGGCGGACGCTGGCCCAGGGCAGCAGCCTGGAGAAGCAGCCAGGCAGCCTCTCTGAGGCCGGGCTCCTGGGTGACTTGGGCCTCACTCTGCACTGTCTACATGGATGCTCTGGGCAGTGGGGCCACTCCTTGGCCAGCTCTTCAGAGGAACAGGTGCCCCCACCCAGCTGTGTCCCTCTGTGGGCAGCTCCCACAGGACCAAGTGCATCACCCTGACAAGGGCAGTCAACCTAAGCCCTGCAACAAAACCGGAGTCCAGGGCGGTCAACAGATGGGAAAAATGGCGGAGGCCTCAGAGGTGGGACATCCTTGGATGTGACTCTCTTTGGTGCCTGGGGGCAGGAGGCCAGGGTGGGACCTGATGCCTGGCTCCTGGACGTTCCAGCATGTGGAGACCTCTGACCGGGATGTGACATGGACRGGGGCAAGACCCCTGCTCAGTCCTCCCTGCCCTCTACCACAGTCCCTGGGCTGTGCTGGACCAGGGTGGGAGCAGGGCCACCTGGGGCCTTCCTACATACCCTCCCCTTCCTCACAATCTCAGGCCTGTGTGGGGCCACCTGGACAGCAGGAGACGCAGGACTCCTGGACCACGTGACCGGGTGCAGCCAGCACCCACTCTGTTCCTGGTTGATGATTGGTTCCAGTGTGGGCATGTGACCTGAGCCCATCCAATCAGAGCCCTGAGACTCTGGATGGACCATTGACAACTCCCAGCATTCACGGGAGCTGCCCGCGGGCACCGGGGCAGCAGTGGGAGAAACAGAAGGTGGCGCGCCACGTTCAGGATGCAGTGGCCCAAGTGTGAATCGGAAGGAAGAAGGCGGCYGGAGGGGACGTGGGCGTGGCAGATCCAAAGCCGTCCCCTGGGCAGCCCTTGAAGCAGGAGGTGGGCGGGTCGGCCTGACCCACTGGAGACCCTCCGTGACGAAGCAGTGGCTTAGGTCAGGAAGCRGGAGCCGTGAGGGGGTCAGCCACAGAGGGCTGAGGGACGTGGGCSACCATGGGCACCTCTGTACGTAGCCCACAGGGGACGGAGCACCCAGGTGAGCAGGAAGACTGTGCCCCACATGTACTCAGCCATGACCACCAGGGGACAGGGCCTTGCGCTCCRGAGAGCCGCTCTGGCACCCGATCTTGCAAGGTTGTCACTAGAGTCCCGCTGTCTTAGCTGTACCTTGTGTGAGCCCGTTCTCTGGGTGTGGGTAGGTGAGGGTGTCCTCACAGTGGGGAGCAGTCTCAGGGGCAGGGGCTCTGGGAGGCAGAGTGGGTGCTGGAGAGCAGCTAGGTCCCCTGAGCTGCTGGATCAGGCCCGACCTGCACCGGCCCTGACAGGAACAGGAGGTCCCATTCCCCCCAGTCCCAGCTCAGGTGGGAGGAGGCGGAGTGAGGGGTGCGGCCCTGGACTCGCCTCCGCCCACRAGGCCCCTGGTGGGCGGCTGCACTCACTCAGCAGGAGGACGATGCAGATGAGGATGGCCACGATGGCGCCTGTGCCCAGCCCRGCTGCCGCCACGGCGCCCACAGTGGTGCAGTCGCCGTTCTCGTCGCACGGGCACACCTTGACCTTGATGACGGAGGTGTTGGACAGCGGAGGGTTCCCGGAGTCGGTGACKGTGATGGGGACATCGTACATCCCGGCCTCCAGGTACAGGATGCGCAGGCTCAGCTGGGCGTAGTCACCTGGCACAGAGCAATGGGAGACGTCCAGCACATGGCCAGGCCCCTGTCCAGCAGCCCTTCTGAGGGGACACCCAGGCTGTGGTGTGGAAACCTCAGATATCCATTCGGTCAGCAAGGACATGTGTACGTGCACACACACACACACACACGTGCACACACACACACACACACACACTACGCCACACCATTATGTTAAAGGCTTTGGCAATGCAAGGAAAAGTCTCTCGAAGCGTGGAGGATGAAGACGATTTCCTGAATATGTAAAGAGTTTTATCAAATCAATCAGGAAAAAAACCTACCCAGAGAGAAGCAGGCAAAGGCATTGAACAGACCACGCACAGAACAACAGCAACGCGAATTTGAAAAGATTTCCCCTGGCAGTCAGGAGAGGTGGTGAAATAAACAAAATGCTTTTAAAAGCAATAGTATTCTGGGTTGGTGAGGGACGGGGAGCAGGCCCTGGGCCCAGGCTGCACCAGCCCACTTCTGGTGAGGGGTCCCAGGGAGACTCGGCAGCCAGGTCTGACCAACTGACATGGGCACAGGGAGTGGCCGTGCCTGGACACTGCTGGGGCCTCACGGGGTGGAGCAGGCAGCCTTGCCCGGGCGCTGCATGGAGGGCAAGGGCAGCAGTGTCCTCCAGGAGGACCCCACCTGCGCTGCTCGCTCTCGGGGGCAGGTGGTCCCTGGGGCCTGTACCCCAGGCTCTGGTTCTCCCGCGGTGCTGGCCCCGGGGCTCACCGTTGAGGCGGGTGATGGTCCAGTTCTTCCGCACCGTGGCGGGGACGAAGGGCAGCTCGAAGACGTAGGGGCCGACGTTGGGGTCCACGTCCGCGTCGGCCGCGGTGATGTTGATGGCGTTGAGGCCTGGCTTCTCGCAGATCTGTGCCTCCTTGGGCAGCAGCTCGGGCGCGTTGTCGTTGATGTCGATGAGGTAGATCTGCAGAGTCCCAGTGCCGCTGGCCGGGGGGATCCCTGAAGGACAGGCGTGGTGACCACGGGGGCCAGGCCACCTGGGATCAGACCCCACCAGGACAGCGCACAGGCAGCCGCCCACAGCACGCCAGAGACTCGGGCCCTCGGTCAGACGCAGCCCAGCCCCAGCCCCAGCCCCAGCCCGGCCGCCGCCCAGCCCCAGCCGCACCACACCCCTCCACTTCTGGGAAGCCAGGGTCACACAGGCCCCAGGGCAGCGCACCCAGGCCCCAGGGCAGCGCACCCAGGCCCCAGGGCAGCGCACCCAGGCCCCAGGGCACCGCACCCAGGCCCCAGGGCAGCGCACACAGGCCCCAGGGCAGCGCACACAGGCTCTCCCGCACACGGACCAGCCACAGGAGTGCCCGATAGCTCAGCCGTGCCCTGGGGACCCTGCTTCCTTCTGGGGCTCCCAGGGCTCTGCAAGGTGCCCGAGGCCTGCCCCCTGACCCTGTCCAGCTGTTGCTGGCCCTCCTGYGTTTCCTGCCTGTCAGCAGGGCTCCGACACCTGGCCACAGTGCAGAAGGGCACTAACTGTCCCTGGGAAGGCCTGGAGGCTCCCCAGATGAGCTCTGGGTGGAGGCGGGCTCCACAGAGGCCCTCTTTCCCCTGGCCTTGGAGTGGCGGGGTGCTCTGTGAGCCCAGAGTCCAGCCCGGCCGTGGCCCAGGCTGGAGGGGCTGATGGGCACGTGCAGGCCAGGATCCGGGACAGAGAGGCCGTGCGCTCCTCAGACGCGGAGGCTGCAGCATCCTCACCCTGACCTGCCTCCAGGTGGCCACTCCTGGTCCCCACCAGCTTCAGCTTTAGGCCAAGCACCTCCCAGAGGTCAAGGCGGGGAAGCCCGGCAGCGCAGTGCGGGCCTCTGGACACGTCCCCAGGAGAGGCGCAGGAGTCTGTTCACGGCAGAGTTCCTGCTCCGGCCTGCTGCCCTGCGAGCCCCCACATCCTGTCCCCAGGTTGTGCCCCCTCCTCTCTGACCGAAGCCTCAGGGCTCAAGCTGTGGTAGGTGAGGACTCGGGAGAGTCCCCCACCCAGCTGGGTGCTCGTCACAGGCTGTAGAGGAGCTTCATGGACTCCTGAGCCCAGGGTGGGGTGGCCGGCAGGGCAGTCACTGAGTCTGGCTTGCCATGGCCGGCTTTGGGTCCACTACTCTTGGTGTTAAGTTTTGGCTGCTCAGTGTTCTCAGAACCACCAGCACGTCCACAGGTCCTGCCTCTGGGCCTTTGCACGTCCTTTTTCTGACTTTGGGACACTCCTCTCCCACWGCCTCTTCTCCTGGGTTCTCCCTCTGGTCACACAGGTCTTGGTCCCAGGGCAGGTCCTCATCCAGACGAGCCGCTGGCCACGTCCCCGCCCTGTTTCCTTGTTGTGCTTCTCTGTGTGAAACTACCTGGTGACTTTAGTTGCCTGCTGGGGTGGAGACGGCTGGGTAGCCCCCAACTTCCATTTTGCTTTCTTTTAATGAAGGAATCGGAGCCCCAGTGTCACGTGGGCTGTCACTGTCCATGGAGAAGGTTCTGTTCCCTCAGCTGGACGTGGCAGGTGAGTGCCCTTCCGAGGGGGTGGTCCCCCTGGAGTCTCAGAAGGCTGGGGTGCCCRCCCCGCCCTGCCCACGGCTGGTTGTTAGAATGTGTGGCGGGGGCTGGAGGACCCCGTGCTGGGCGCGGTGAGGACAGGAGGCYGGTCACAGAGCCAGGCTGGCTGATCACACCCGCCTGGGCTGAGGGCGCTGTGGTCCTGCATGGCACCTGGCCCTGGCCGGCTGACTCTCAGGACACTGCTCCGCCAGGGGCTCTGGTCTGGTTTGCCCACTGCTGAGCAGCGGCCCCGGGTGGTCAGGGACCAGGAGAGCGGCAGCAGGAAGAGCAGAGCTGGCCGTCACTCGCTGGCCTGCCTGTCCCGTGCGGTGGGTGACGACTTATCTGACTCTCGGAGTTGGTAGCTCCCCATTTCACAGGGGGAAACCGAGGCACAGAGAGTCCAGTTCTCTTCCTATCGGGAGGGCTGCCCTGGACGCATCGGGCTCCAGGACGTCCACTCCTACCCCTTCCGTCTCTGCAGGGACTGGCCCCAGGAGCACCCAGCTGGCTGTGGAGGTGCTGTGGGGCCTGGGCGGCCTCTGGCTGCAAGCCCAGCACCTGGAGGCCTGGCCGTGGCCCTCGGAAACCCCGGCTCCAGGTGCCCCTCCTGTCCAGACCCTGGGGTCCTCTGCTCCATGGCCAGTCTGGGGTCCTGGCCGCCCTCCTTCCTGGGCTCACTTCTGGCTGAACTTTGGAAGGTTCAAGGTGGGAGGCTGAGCAATGGCTCGCRGGGTGGGGGGCTCGGCAGGGACGGGCGGGGACSGCCTGACTCCCGGTGCCCGAGTGACCGAGGGCCAGCCTGCGGGAGGGACGCGGGAGGCAACAGCAGGTGGAAAGATGGGGCAGGGCCTGGGGGCCTGAYGGGGGCGAGGCCGCAGACGGGCCTCCTGCCTCGCCCCAGCCCCTGGCCCCSGGCCCTGAGCAGCGTCCTCCCTCCCGCAGCATGGCCTCCTGGAGGGGCTCACCGTTGTCGGCAGCCAGGAAGGTGGCCTCATAGACGTTGTTTCTGATGTAGAGGGACTCGCGGTCCAGGACGGCGGCCGTGGTGATCTGACCGTTGGAGGCGTTGATGTGCAGCCAGTTGGCGGGGTCCGAGAGCTTGGAGTACCTGCAGGGCCGTGGGGAGCTGAGGGGGGCCGGCGGGGCTCCCGGGGTGGGCCCTGCGCCAGCCTGCGTCCTGTGTGTCCCCGGGGGTCCTGGGGGCTGTGAGCGCCTGGCCACCCGCAGCAGGTGGACGGGGGCAGCTCAGGCACAGGGCTCCTGCTACGGTGGGCGGCCTGGCCCCTCAGGACCCCAGGAGGCAGGCCCTCTCTTCCCCCCCAGGTGGGGACACCGAGGGACAGAGTAAGTGGCGCCCCGTCACACGGCTACTGGGGACGAAGCCAGGATTGGGCCCGGCCGTCCAGACCTCCCCGGCCTGGGCCAGTGTCCCGCTGSAGGAGCCTGGTGCTCTGAGCCTGTGGGCGTCCCAGGACTGCTGTGGCCCCGTGTGGTCAGGGCTCCCCCAGCCCCCGCCTCCTGGGTTTGGGGACTTAGGGTAGAAAACAGGGAGCCCSAGGGGGGGAGCGGCTGCTGCAGACCCACCTCACGGCTTGCTGCATGAAGCGGTCAGGGTCCACGGCGGAGAAGGTGGTGAGCGCGGTGCCCGCCGGCACGCCCTCCTCCAGGCGGATGAGCTTGTGGTTGGACGGGAAGTAGGGCGCCTCGTTGATGTCAGTGACCGAGATGGTCACCCCTGCCGTGGACTGGAAGGACATCTGGATCCCGCTGGCCAGGGCCGCCTGGTTGGACACCATCACCGTCAGCATGAAGGCCCTGTTCAGCTCGTAGTCTGCGGCCTGCAAGGAGGGGGGTGAGCTGGCGCTCCACGCACTGCCCTTCCCTGTCCCCGTCCCGTCCCCAGGGCTGCTCCTGGGGCCTGTCTCCTAGGCCCCTTGGGGGCTGGGCAAGGGGAGGACCGAGGGGCCAGGGAGAGGACCCCCAGCCCACCCCATGCCGTGCTGAGGCTGAAGCTGGGTCTGGGGACCCGGCAGAAGACCCCTCCCAGGCTGTCACCTGGTTCTGGGAAGGCCCACGCCTGCTCTGATCCCTCARGCCAGCATGGAGTCCCCCGGTGTGGGTGCCCCCGAGTGGCATGTCCCCTGAACTCGTGATGGCCCTTGTTTGGAACARGGTCTTTGCAGATGTGATTCAGTGAAAGTCTCCCGGGGAGACCGTCTGTGGGAGAAAGGCAGGGGCCSGTGGACACGGAAGGAGGCCGTGAGCAGGCCTGACGAGCGGGTGGGCCCCAGGGCCYCCAGGGGCTGGCAGCCCGAGAGAGGCGGGCAGTGACGCTCCCCGAGCCTTCCCGGGACATGTCCCTGCTCACACTGGACCTCGGGCCCTGTCCCAGGGCTCCCAGGGAACACAGCTGCTGGCTTTTCCCTCAGTCCTGGGGACTGAACGTGGGGCCTCGGATGACCACTGAGCCACAGCCACCTCTCTGTCCGCTAGGCCCCGCCAGGTGGGTGTGGGGACGCCGCACAGCAGGGCCCTGGTGCGAGAACGGTTCCCAGGACTCTGGAGGCCGGGCCCCGACGGGAGGCAGGCCTCTGTAGCCTGCTCACCCCCCCTCACCTCCGGGAGGCGGGGGTCACAGGGAGGCCATGGGGTCTGAGCTCCGGCAGGCTCGCCGGGAACTGCAGCCCACACCACTGGGGACGTGCATCGGCCTCAGGGGGAGGCAGCCCACAGCCCGAGCAAGGGACAGACAAACACCATCTCTGCTGTGGCCGGGACGCCGTCCACCCACCTGGGACGTGGGTAAGAGTCCCGCCCCATTGTGAGGCACCCAGAAGGTGCAG